TTTGCCATCTGACGATATCACGTGGAGTTGCGTCCTGCCACCTGTAGGGGCGCTGTTTTGGAAACCCCCATATGAGTCATATGCTCGTCAAATGATCGTTTGGAGGTTGATCAAAACAACCCCTTAATACCTGAACAAACAGGTTTATCCACTAAGTGGGGGATGAACAGCTGGGAAACAGCTGCTGACGGGATTACCAGGCAAAAATCGGTCTAATTTTAGTTGACTGTACTTTTTTAGACATGATTTACAGGGAAACAAAACAGAAAGGGTAGAACAGAGATGGGTGCACTGTGATAAGGGATTGTCATGGTGACCAACAATGCGGTGACGAAATAATCCTCGGTAGAAATAAGGGTCTCAAAGTGAAAAAAACAAACCCTTACCATTACGTCACCACCACTCTCAACCCTTCACACTAGACGGGTTGGAGCCATGCTTTCATATTTATGCCAATCCTGACTTTACCAGCTGAATATCACAGCAGACATCGAGATTCAGACCAGTTGTCCAATAAAAACTCCAGTGTTGCTGAGCATGTGTGAACTATGATCAGTTTCCTGTTCTCAGCTGACAGGACTGACACCTCCTGCACCTCGGTTGCATACCACCTAACAGCAACAAACGTAGATCACCTTTCTTCTCCATTCTGATGTTCGGTTTCAACTTCAGCAGGCGTTACTGGCCCTACCTACATATTTAAATGCACCTATATGCAGCTTGTGATCGGAAGTTCAGATATTTTTGTTTACGAGCAGCTGAACAGATGTACCTAATAAATTGGATAGTCAGTCTTTATCTTCCTGTTTCTCTCTCTGCCGGAAAACTGAGACAATGCAACACATTGTTATGTTTGCTGTACTGTAACTCTGTGTTTAATCTGCACCGAGCTTAGACTAAAGCAACTAAAAAAATAAAATAAAAATGCTGCTATAACATTTCAAATACTCGACTGGAATTATATATATTTTAAAATGTATCTAGTAAAATACATTAGTTTATATGACTGAGAGTCTCATAAACTTTAAGAATGACAGTCCCCCTCCCTCCCTTCTTGAGCTGTCACGGACACAGGAAATGCGAAGAGACATAAACTTGTATTGGAAACTTTATTCTCTGTAATCAGTGCAGGTAACATGTATTTGTCATGACAGAGTCCATAAAATGCTGATTTGTATGAATTACAGTTGTTCGTTGTGTCAAATGAAAACACAGATTTGCTAACTTGTTACAGAACACATAATGAGAACAGTGAATAAAAAAAATAAATACAAGATTAGTCAAACTTATTAAGATTCTATAGTATACATTTTTTTCTGGTGTATGAATCATGTTAAAAGGCCTCAGCCTCCTCTCAGACGGAAAAACATGTAGATGGTGCTGTGGTTTCTGATGTTGTAGTCCTCCAGTTTGCCATCCTGCATCTCCCGGCTTTCATGAATGAGCCTCTGCTGGCTCGCTGGCACCCTCTCTCTCCTCTCGACTCTGTTCTTGAAGTTGCTCACAGTCTCGTCGAGCCTGATGTCGTAGGTGCTGGAGTGTCCATTTTCATTTTTGAGGAACACCTGGATGGGAGCAGGCGGAGGAGGCTTGGTGACCAGCAGGGACACCTGGGAGCCGTGCTGTAAGCCATAGTAGCTGATGGGTTTGGAGTCGTCGTTGAGAGGGGTCCTCTGGCCGTTTATGAAAACCAATTTCTGCGTCTGAGGGTCGACTCCCAGTTTCTCGTAGATTTTTATTTTCAGAGAGCCAACTGTGTCCTCTGGGTTCACGTTCAAAGTGTGGGACTCACCCAGCATATTAATAGTTATATCCATGTTGCTTGTAGTCTGAAAGAATTCAAAGTAGTCCATTAGAAAACACACACACTGGGGAAAAATGACTTTTCAGTTCTTTATCAGCTTCCTACCTTGTGATGACTTTTTCACTTCAAGTCTTCAAACGTGGAAACGTAAATGATGCTCGAGCAGCAGCAGCAGCTAAGTTGAAGGGCTCAGCCTTTATATACACTCTGCCTCAGCTGATCCACACCCTCACACTCACCTAAGGTTCGTTTTCCCTCTCTGCCATAACAACTTTCAGTTTCTATTGTCTAAGCATAACTTGGCTCTAATGCTGTAATTAAAAAGCCTTTCCTTCACAAAATCTAGACTTAAGAAATATGCCTGGCCTGTGGAGTCAGTCTAAGTGTGGGACATTGTCACAAAAAGTGCGACAAGGAATAGAAATGCTGTACAAACCCACATAAAGAGGGGCATCTGGTCACCTGGGTTGGCCTATAATAGATGTATTGGGGGTCAAAACCACTGAAGGATTTTAAAAATAATTCTTTGCTGAACTGGGAAGCAAAGAAGTGACTTCAGTAATCAAAGAAGTGACTTCAGTAATGGCAACAATAGTTATTCATTTTTGTTTTAAAGGCAATACTGTTCGTTATGTGTGCGGGCACACACATCACACTGTGGACTCTGTGGAGAACAAATTGCGTTAGATACCACGAAATACGTTTAAAATTCGTTGGCATGCCAAGCACAGAGCCCTTTAAAGTGAAATGCTGTTTATTTGCCATCTGACGATATCACGTGGAGTTGCGTCC